CCAAATCTATCTAGGATTTGCACAATTACAACCACAATTTAATATAATATCTATAACACTGTTCTCAATTTCATATAACTCGTTCAAAATCAAATATCATATTTTATGGTTAATGGTTTAGTTGGGTAATAAATTATTAACTAATGAATCTCTTAAACACGTGCAATTTACCATGTCTCACATGAAACACAATTTGTGCATGGCAAGTTTAAGCCAGCAAATTCATCTTTAAACCTTTTTAACATTATTTGACTTTCACGAATGGAACATATTGAAAAGGTCTTAGTCAACGAAGTTCTCACACGGATTAAAGAGAATACAAATGCTGATTACTTGCCTTGATACAATTCCCTAACCCCTATAAATTGCCACATTGTTCAACCTCTAGGTTCTCAGCCAACAAAACCCAGAAGCCATGTCTGTCAAGAAGAGTCTCTCTCTCAACCGTGGCGGAGCCGGAAAGCGGGGAGCAGTGGCAAAGAGGACAAGGAAGAGCCTTTCTCTGAACAATGGTGATGCCAGGAAGGGCGGCGGAGATGTGGTTGCAGCAAAGCGCACACGCTTTCATCGTTGTTTTTCTTTCATAGAGGTTTCTACTGAACCTGGAAAATCACTTAAAGACATGGATTCTGAGAAGTTGAAGTCTGGGATCATGAGGTGGGCTAAGGCTGTCGTTGCATACGCCCGCCAAGTGAGTGGCCGCTTTGGAAGCACTCGTGGCTAATCACAAGCCTAATTCAAATGTCTCGAGAATATTACTGCGATTGACGCGAACCCAACACAAAGATCAATGTGTTGCTTACATTTGCACATGGGAGCTTCAGAAGAAGATGGACCGATTGGTGAAGGACGAGTTGAACATATTGTTCTAGAAATTTCCACCTAGCGCCTCTTAGGAGTTAAATGGTTGATCATCACCTTGATTAATCCTTAGGCGTTGAAAATTAAGAAAGGGCACCTAGACTTGCTTAGGCACCCGCTTACCCTACCTAGACACCCGCATATGCCGCCTAAGTCACGACTCTCGCTTAAACAAAAAATAGTTAACTTTCAGTTTTCGTTTTTTTTTTCACTAAATTGTAAGACTTGTTGAATACTTGGATGACACTCATTATATGCTTGTTCCTCATGTTTTTAATATGTTCTAATACTTTATAATTTATAGGTCAATTCTACTTTACAATTTATGTATTCCGGTACAATTATATATTTTTAAGGGTAAATATCAGTTTACTACCCTCAAGTTTCGTGGTTTTCAACATTTAGTACATGAACTTTTTTTCGTTCCAGAGTCATACTTAAAATGTTAATTTTGAGACAATCTCATACGTTCGTTAGTCTGGCTGTTAAGTTTTCCGTTAACTGATGACGTGGCGTCCATGTAGACAATGACTGGGCATCTCGTGTTATTAAAAAGATCCACATGAAAATTAAAAATTAAAAAAAAAATTCCTGCCCAAATTTTAACCCATAACATTCCTTTTTTTCCACCAAATTTTTTTTTTTATAAAAAAAATCAAATTAGATAGTGAACGACCCAGAGCAGTTTTGATTTCTTCCACATAGGCCACATTTCTAATGGCTCCGGTAGCATGGGTCTGGGTCGCCAGAGACTCAAATCAGCAGGCTTCGATGAGGACTGAGATGCCATAGTAAACGGAAACAGCCCAGGCGTTTTATGGGTCTGCGGTGAGCGCCTCTATCGCCATCACAACCTTCTCTTACAAATGGGTCGACCCAGATTTGAGTATTCTTAGCAGAGGACCCAGACTCCCTTAATCAAACATTGCCTTGCGCGATGACTCGTCGTCCACGGTGGCCAGGAGACAGACGGCGAAGATAGCCTGCTCGTGGACTGTTAGAACCCATTATCCCACATCGGCCAAAAGGGAAAAGAGAAAGCACTTTAAATAGAATTACCCCACTCTAACTAACACCGAGGCCTTTTGGGATAAAACCCCACACCTGAGGATTGTGCAGGTGGTTAAGTGGGGACAGTATCGGTGTTGTTGAAGTGGACCCTCAGAGCCAGGGGGCGGGCCCGTACTGCCACGTGATTGGGTGGGTCCCCATTGGCCCCGTGCGATTGTCCACATAGGCCAAAGATTCCATGTGTTTGGGTGGGTCCCTAATGACCTTGCACGATTGGGTGAGTCCCGACATGGCTCCACGTGGTTGTCGATGTGTGGAATTTCACGTGTGACCCATAAATGGGATCTCACGTGCGGGGAAGTGTTGGAACCATTGTCCCACATCGGCCAAAAAGGAAAAGAGAAAGCACTTTAAATAGAATTACCCCACTCTAACTAACACCGAGACCTTTTGTGATAAAACCCTACACCTGAGGATTGTGCAGATGGTTAAGTGGGGACAGTATCGGTGTTGTTGGAGTGGACCCTCGGCTCGTTGACCTGAAAATTTCAACATGGACGGAACGCTGGTGGTGGAAATCGAGCGTCGGTACATTGGTCGCATAGGGCAGTGAGGCGTTGAATAATGGATAGGAGTAGAGGTATGAGGGTGTAAAGGAGGGGATTTCGGGCCTAGTGGGGGGAGTCGGAGATGTCATGGACGGAGGAGTGGAGGATGCGAGCTTGGAGTGGAAGGCAGTCCAATGGCCAACGAAGGAGGGGACAGTAAGGGAAGAGCAAATGAGGAGGGAGAGGGTGGAGTTGATGAGGTCGAGAAAGGTTTGGAGTGGGTTTGAGGCGGCGACGGCTCAATGCATTTAGGAAGTGGGGGGCCAGATTAGAACCGGGTCGTGTTCTGGTTTGTTTCGGGCATCGCTGAACACTGCATGAGAGAAAGAGAGAGAGATGCTTGGAAGTAAAGAAAAATGAGAGCAACAACGGAGTGAAGGAATGCAGTGAGTTATAGGTTAAAAATGGAGAGAATGATCGAGAGGAGTGTGGGGAAGAGAGCAACAATGGCAGACCAATTTTATTTTTCAAAAATATTTGGCAGGAAAAAAAAGGAATGCAGTGAGTTATGGGTTAAAATTTGGGCGGGAATTTTTTTTTGTTGAATTTTTAATTTTCACATAGACCCCTTAATATTGTCACATCCCGATCCGGGCCCTCCCCACATCCCGAGCTCGACTCCACCATAACAAAATATTGTCCGCTTTGAGCCCTGACCACACCCTCACAGTTTTGTTTCTGGGAACTCACACGAGAACTTCCTAACTTCCCAGTGTTGGCAGGAAAAAAAAGGAATGCAGTGAGTTATGGGTTAAAATTTGGGCGGGAATTTTTTTTTTGAATTTTGAATTTTCACATAGACCCCTTAATATTGTCACATCCCGATCCGGGCCCTCACCACATCCCGAGCTCGACTCCACCATAACAAAATATTGTCCGCTTTGAGCCCTGACCACACCCTCACAGTTTTGTTTCTGGGAACTCACACGAGAACTTCCTAACTTCCTAGTGGGTCACCCATCCTGGGATTGCTCTCGCGCGAACTCGCTTAATTTCGGAGTTTCGATGGAACCCGAAGCCAATGAGCTCCCAAAAGGCCTCGTGCTAGGTAGAGATGAAAATATATATATATAATGCTTACAGGATCCACTCTCCTAGGCGATGTGGGATGTTACATTAATAACACGTGGCGCTCAGTCATTGTCTACATGGGCGCCACGTCATCAATTAACGGAAAGCTTAACAGCCAGACTAACAGATATATGAGACTGTCCCAAAATTAACACTTTAGGTATAACTCTGGGACGAAAAAAACTTCATGTACTAAATATTAAAAACCACAAAACTTAAGGACAGTAAACTAATATTTACCCATTTTTTAAAGTATAAATAAGTATTTATTTATATGATATATAATAAATTTATTTAAATCTGTCTAGTCTGTCTAGGCCCTTGCTTAGACCCTGCCTAGCCGTTAGGTCCCAGCCTGCTGTCTAACTAGCGCCTAGCCCCTTTTAAAACCTTGGTTGAAGGTGACTCTCAAGGACGATCTAGACAACATGAGTTGGTCTCTCTTATATATTTATATATGCTTGTATCTTCTTTGTTTGCTCAAAATATTTAAGGAAAACTAATAAAAAGAGTAGGAAAACTTTGAGTTTTGACGATAATGACAAAATAAAGGGTAAAGTGAATAGTACCAAGATTGACTTTTTAGTATAAAAATGTGATTTTTCATTAAAGTGAGCCGTACCAAGAACTTTTTGTTAAAGTTCCCAAATATTTAAGGGGACAAGTACCAGCCTTTATCTTCATTTCAACCCGACACCATAACTGGACAGTTCGTCATTGGCCCGGCATATATACCAACCTTTTATCTTCTAAGAAAATATTATGGGACACTGGATTTTCTTTTTGGTTGCAGAGATGAGTGTGAATATGAAGAATATAATGGGAAATTTTCTACGACATAACGACCCCGTATTGACAACTACCTATAGCTATATTACAACAATATCAACAATATTGTTTGAACACTTTCGATACCTCAATACTGTATCTATACATGAATATCAATATGGACATCGTATCAACAATATCTACACTATTTGAATACTATATGGACACCGATTCGTTCTCTTTCAATAATATCTACACTATTTGAATGCTATATTTGGTTTTCTCACTGCCTAAAAAACAACTCTGTAATCATAACCACAAGGACACTCAATGAGTAAGGCAAACATCATATCTGAACCGAAGATCACCAACAGCAACAAGCTAGGCAATCACAGAGCCACTGGATCTGCCTGCCACTCTATCTCTAAATGGTCCTCTCTTCAATTTAATACCAAGAAATAAAATAAAACGACCAAAACACACTGACAAATTAAAGGAGAGGGCAGCGAAAGCTTAGGTAACCGGCGGCTGGTGGTTGAGCCTAATATGGTGCAACAGATGGAGGAGAGGGTAAGAGAAGGGGGATTGGGGATTTCAATGACCAGAACAGAAAATTTGAAATACGGTGACGAAAAGTGATTGTAAGTCAAAATACAATGACCAGAAATGTGTTTAACCTACTTATTAAGGACCTTGATCACATACCAAAAAGGAAGAGAAATGTTGAAAATTTGATTGACTAAACTATTACTTCTTATGCTAACAATATGTTACAAGCTACTTTGATACTATAACAGAAATTCGTACGAAACATTCACTTTAAACCACCAACAGTTTTCATACCAAGGTATTTGCTTCTACATATTTTTCCACAGCTTCTTTTTGGTCTGACAAAAGAACACTCATGCACCCCTTTTTCTTGTGGTCAAATTCATACAAGTTTGGGTGGTATGTATTGCACCTGCTCATCTTCACATAAATTCTGCAAAAAGAGAGAAAAAAATTATAAGAATCTGAGACAGTGTGTGATTGATCTATGAAAAAGAACAAGCAAAAGGAACCATAATCCATGGGAAAAAATTATAAGAATCAGCAGTAATTGAAGCTCCTATTCCGGTAGTAACGAAATTGGAAGGAACAAGTAGGCAAGGATTTTTATCTCCCACAACACTACCTAAATGATCTTATGTCCTAGGGTTACCACAATTCTGCTTTGTTGGTAATTCTATCAATGTAACCATCACCATGAATGATTGAAGAATTGAGTCATGATTAATAAACAGTAAACGGTAGAAGTATACACTGCAGACAATTCATGGGGTATTTAAAAAAAAACAGAGAACATAAGAGAGCCTTTTTGATATGCTTTACGACCCAGAGACTGTCAAATAAAAGAACAAACATGAGCTCGAACAACAGCTCGATGTCCAAAACCCAAATCACAGTGTCTCTTCGGGGTATTTTATTTTCCTGTGTTTTGGACTTCAACCATTGATACAAAGAACTTATTACAAAAGCTAGTCATATTTGACTGATTTGTTAGGCACACTTCAATTTCCTAACTCCTATTGTCTTGTATGGCAGACTTTTTCATTCGTTTGAAAGATATGGTAGCTAACTAGCTATTGGACAGGATGCTCCCAAAACCCATCTAATTTCGTGTGGCATAGATTTATTGATCGACCATATAATTAACATAGAAATGGTAAAGTATGATTGTCCACTACGGAATATAAGGAAACTTTGTATGATTAACATGAGAAAGATATTGTATTACCCGCAAATCCTCTGAAAGAACCTCTAAAACGCAGATCTGCAAGAAGAAGAAGAAGGAAGAGGGAGAGGGAGGAGGGCGCGGGGAGAGGGCTCCGGCGGGGGGGGGGGGGGGGGCGGGGAGCTGGTCTCCGGCGGGAAGAAGAAGAAGAAGAAGCCACTCCCTCCCAATTCAATGAACTGCACACGATTTTAAGCAATTTCGAGGTGGTTTTTACTATTCCTTCCACATTACCTCCATCACGAACTCATGACCATAAGATTCCATTGCTACCGGGAGCAAAGCCACCTAATATAAGGCCTTATCATTATGGACCTTTACAAAAAATTGAAATTGAAAAAGCAGTCCAGGAGTTGCTGCACTTTGGTTTTATCAGACCTAGCCGTAACCCTTTTTCCTTTCCCGTTTTACTGGTTAAGAAGAAAGAAGGCACTTGGAAATTATGCATGGATTACAGGGAGTTGAATAGCATCACCATCAAGGATAAATATCCTATCCCACTCATAGATGACATGTTGGATGAGCTATTTGGGGCTAGGTACTTCTCCAAGCTGGATTGAAGATCGGGTTACCATCAAATTTGAATTCATAAGGAGGTTGTGGATAAAACTGCCTTCAAGACCTATGAGGGACACTATGAATTTTTGGTGAAGCCCTTTGGGCTTACCAATGCCTCAGCAAGCTTTCAAAGCTTGATGAATAATATTTTTAAACCCTATCTCAGGAAGTTTATATTGGTATTTTTTTATGACATGTTAGTCTACAGTAAAACATGGGAGGAGCACCTATCTCATTTGCACCAGACCTTAAAGTTGTTATTACAGCACCAGTTATATGTAAAGAAGTCTAAATGCTCTTTTGGTCAGCAACAGGTTGAATACTTGGGTCACATAGTTTCCAGTGATGGAGTTGCAGTTGATCCCACTAAGATACAAGCCATTTTGGATTGGCCAGTCCCTAGGAATGTGAAGGAGCTGAGGGGGTTTTTGGGGTTGACAGGGTATTACAGAAAGTTTGTACAAGGCTATAGCAAGATATGCCAGCCTTTGTACCAACTCACTAAAAAAGATAGGTTCATATAGTCTGAGGCAGCAGAGTCAGCTTTTCAAGAATTAAAAAGGGTCATGACATCTCTTAAGGTGTTAGCCCTTCCTAATTTCTTGATCCCATTTGTTATAGAATGTGATGCTTCTGCAAATAGGATAGGAGCAGTCTTGCAGCAACAGGGAAACCCATTGCTTTCTCCAACAAGGCTTTGGGCCCCAAGAACCAGGCTCTGTCCACTTATGAAAGAGAACTTATAGTTGTGGTGCATGCCATCAAAAAGTGGCAAAATTACCTCCAGGGGCAACATTTCATCATCAAAACAAATCACAATAGTTTGAAATATTTTTTAAATCAAAGAGCCACTACCCCATTCCAGCAAAAGTAGGTTTCAAAGCTATTAGGATATGATTATGAGATCCAATATAAACAAGGTGTGGAAAATGTGGTGGCTAATGCTCTATCAAGGGTACCTAGTGCCCCTACACTTACCTACAAACCACAGTGAAGAGTTAGTGAAATGTGTCACTATCACATACCCTTACTTTGGGTGGTTGGATGATTCGAGGAGCCAATTGGAAAAAGATGAGTGGGTAAGACAAAAGAAGGAAGAACTGAGGGCTGCCACCCATGCCAACACTGTCACTTCCCATTTGTCAAAGTACCACATTGATAATGGGTTCTTAAAATACAAAGCTAGGATTGTGATTGGTCCTTAATCAACTTGGAGAAAAAAGATCTTTGAAGAGCATCATTGCACTCCTATGGTCGGCCATAAAACCTACCACATATTGAAAATAAGCTTTTATTGGGTGGGAATGAAAAAAGATATTAAGTCTTGGGTAGCCGAGTGCAGGTTGTGCCAACAGTTCGACATTGGAAGGGAGTCAAAGATGTTCTACGATACCTACGTGGGACAACAGACATGAGCCACCTCTACTCCGAGAAACCCACAAATGATCAGAATATTGTTGGATATGCAGATGTTGGTTTTTTCCCCAATCCACATAAAGTCCGCTCACAAACTAGATATGCATTCATGTATGGAAATATAGCAATTTCATGGCATTCAACAAAGCAAATATTAGTTGCTACATCTTCCAATCACTTGGAAATACTTGTTCTACATGAAGCCAGTCATGAATATTCTTGGTTAAGATCAATGATCTTTCACATCCAAAATCCATGTGGTCTATCTTCAAGGATAGACTCTCCAACTATCATTCATGAAGATAATGCAGCATGTGTTGCCCAATTGAAGGAAGGATTCATCAAGGGCGATCAGACTAAACATATATCTCCAAAGTTTTTTAGTGCACATGAGCTTCATAAGGCTAAAGTTATTGAAGTCCGACAAATCTATTCTAATGAAAATCTAGCAAACCTATTCACCAAATCTTTACCAAAGTGTACGTTTCAGAAGCTACTGCATAATATCGGATTACGCCAGCTTTACAATCAGTCAAATTGAAGAATGCATAATTATGCGGAGATACTACAAAATTAGGGGGAGATACTCATCAGGGGGAGCATCTAGGACACATGCATGTTGTACTTTTTTTTCTTCGACTAGGATTTTTCCCACTGGGTTTTTCCTATCGAGGTTTTAATGAGGCAACATAAGCATACTTAACACTATATCAATAATCCAAGTAAAGTTGTACTCTTTTTCCTTCGTTGCAGTTTTTTTCCGTTGGGTTCTTTCTAGCAAGGTTTTAATTAGGCAATTGGAGTTGATATATGGGCATCCAAAGGGGAGTGTTGTGAAATCTAGTGTGATGCCACATATATGATTGTTTTAGGAAGCAAACCAAAATAAACTTTGGTGACATCCATGGAAAGTCTTGGGTGAAAAAGTGTTAGGGAGGTAAAAAATTTCTTCATGCATGTAAGGTTGTGTCAGATCAAAACCCTTATATATAGATGTATGTTTGTAACCTCATTACAACACACAAGGGAGTGGAAGTAATAATACCAATATCCCCTCTCTCTTTACCTGCATTATTTGTGTGATACAGTTACGAAAATAAACAATCTAATACATTGCACCCATTCTACTTCTATCTCTCGCAAAGGTTATCCTTCTCACTTTTGCCTATTTTTATAACAGAGAATATATTGATTGGTCTTATATATATTGTGGTACACAGATTTCTCCTCTACTCCAAGAAACCCACAAATGATCAAAATATTAGGTGAACTGTCAACTTAGTCCCTGAATTATCACCTTAGTGAAAATTAGGTCCCTGCATTACTTTTTCGGTAAAAAAAAGTCCTTAAATTCATTAAAAAAACTGTTAATTTCATCCCTACTATTATATTCAAAGCTATTTTATCCAATTTTTAATCAATGTAAGTCACTTGACACATTTTAGAATGTAATACCGTCATTTTCTCGCCTTGAAGCTTTTAACATTTCAAATAGGTTGTGAATCTAATGTCTAATTTACCCTATAAAGTTAATTTCATACACTATTTCTCTACGAAAAATATTATCTACCTTCCAATGTATATCACATGCAAGTAACATGAATTAAATTTCAAATCTAATGTTAGGGATGTAGTTGGCAGATTTTTATAATTCAAGGACTGCATTTTTTTTTTTTTGAAAAATAATTTAGGGATCTAATTTTCACCCAGATGATAATTCAGGCACCAAATCAGCAATTTACCCTATTGGTTTTGTATGTCTAAATAACAACTCTTTTTTGTGGAAAGATAGATTTTATTCATTCAAGTCTAATAGATAAGTTTACACCCTTAGGAAGAATATTAAAAAGAAAATCGGGACTAATACAATCCCAAATAAAACAACCTCCTGCTGATTAAATGAAAGTCGCTACATCGTGCGCCACTTTGTTGATTTCTCAATGAGAAAACACAAACTCAACGAATTCCATACAACTTGCAAGTAGCCAAATTTCATGTAAAATGCCCTCCAAATTCACACCAGCAGACATTTGTGGATATATCATCTGAATAATCATCTGGGCATCATCTGACTCAATAATTAACTTAGTAAATCCATTCCTTCCGCATTCCCTAGAGCATCCCTCATGGCAACCGCTTCAGCCATTTGGGCATTGGCTGCATGAAGCTCAGCCGTGCCACCTGCCAGTTGCAACAACCCCACGAAGTCACGAATGACCCACCCCACCGCACCAGTTCCCTTATTCGCATGCCATGTAGCATCACAGTTTACCTTCCATGAGCCAAAAGGAGGCTCCTTCCATTTCTTCTGTTCACTTGGTTGCAGGACCCCCTCTGATCTTCTCGTCTTCCCTCTCTCTTCTTCCTCCCTTGTTTGCACCTCCATTTCTCGATACTCCCCTCGGTTCCATTTCCAAAGCCTGATGGCGGACCCATTGAAATTCCTATCATTCCGGCACTTCCATAACCTCCACAACCCTTGTCGTCCTGCAAAGTCAAGAAGAAAAACGCGGGGGTGATTATTTTGGCGCAAGAATCTTGCGCTACGAATTGCGTGACAAAGGATTCGTCACGCAAGGTCTTGAATTAACTGCAGGTGAATCAGAGGAATCAATACCGCATTTAGTACAAATGTTTGAGCAATGAAGCATTCGTCACGCAAAGGCCCTAACTTCCTATAAATATGCGTTTATGTTGTCCTTATTCTTCATAATTATATTCTCCTTATTCATCACAATTCTGTTCGTTGTGAGATGGAGGATAAAAACAAGGATCAGAGCGTGACCGATGTCGACCCGAATAATTTGAGGCAGCATTTTCAGTTCACGCATGCGATTGTTGTAGCCATGGGGAACAATTTTCCTACTGCTGAGTGGCGTTTTTGGAAAGATGTGCCCGAGAATGTGAAGAAGGCGGTGATGGAAGAATTATTAGTAAGTATATTGTTGATAGATCAATAAGTAATTTTGTGAAATTTTTTATTATATTTTGGAATTAATTATTTGCATATATATGTACAATGTAAGTATACTCTTGATGATGATATGAACAAACAGTTGA